GCTCCAGATTGAGCATTTCCAAGACGGAATATTTGTGCATCAATCAAATTACACCAAAATGGTGTTAAAACGCTTTAAAATGGATAAAGCAACTCCTTTGAGTACTCCAATGGTCAATAGATCACTTGATATTAACAAGGATCCATTTCGACCTTGTGAAGATAGCAAAAACATATTAGGTCCTGAAGTACCTTATATGAGCGCTATCGGTGGGCTTATGTATCTTGCAAATTGTACTCGACCAGATATAGCCTTTGCTACTAATCTACTTGCAAGATACAGCTCATCTCCTACGCGCAGACATTGGAATGGAATTAAACATATTTTTCGTTATCTCCAAGGTACGATTGATCTGAGTTTATTTTATCCTAGAAACCTCGAAGTTGGTCCAGTTGGTTTTGCAGATGCAGGATATTAATCAGATCCGCATAAAGCTAGATCGCAAACTGGATATGTTTTCACAGTTGGTGGAACAGCGATCTCGTGGCGTTCTCAAAAACAGACTTTGGTCGCCACTTCTTCAAATTATGCGGAAATCATTGCTCTCCATGAGGCATGTAGAGAATGCATATGGTTCCGATCTGTGACTCAACATATTCAAGGTGCAAGTGGAATAGTCATTGATAAGGAACCAACAAAAGTGTTCGAAGATAATGCTGCATGTGTTGCTCAACTCAAAGAAGGTTTCATCAAGAGCGATCGAACAAAACATATTCCTCCAAGGTTTTTCTCTTACACTCAAGAACTCGAGAAGAATCAGAAAATGGATATCCAATATGTTCGCTCGAGTGACAATGCAGCATATCTCTTTACAAAGGCGCTTCCCACTATATCATTCAGAAAACATGTTCATAGTATTGGAATGCGCCGACTACGAGACCTATGGAGGAAATTTATATCCATCATTTCGAAAAAGAGATTACGTAGCTGTACTCTTTTTTCCTTGTCATGGTTTTTATCCCAATGGGTTTTTCTATGATAAAATTTTTAACGAGACAGTACGTAATAGATTATTAATGATGGATAATTAAGAGGGAGTGTTGAATATTAATTATTCACGTTAATGTGTTAAGTAACAAAGTTACTCTACCTACCACTTGTAGTGTAGTCCATATATTTTACCAACCTCATTCTCTACTCTCTTGTATAAATAGATGTGTTGTACAGCAATAATATGAGAAGTCAGAAGAAACTTATTCTTTGCTCTCCCTATCGCTTTTCCTTCTTCCACTAAAGAAATATGTAATATATATACATACACATATATAAATATACATAATCTTACCTATTTAATATATATAATGACAAATGTACAAGACGTTCCTATTTTTTATGTTTCAATTTCCTTATTTAATCTTTTCATCTTGTGTTTTTAACTTCCCATTTTTTTTTTCTTGTTTTTGTGCGTGTTCTTCTTTCTCCCATTCCAACCATCAACAATGAGAGTATGAGACAACATCAACATTAAAAACATACGAATAACAGCAAATAATTTGAAAAACATCATAACATATTCAATAACAAATTGATCACAGAACACCCTAACTAAGAACAAAACAAAACAATTAACAGGTAGATAAAAAAAAAACAGAACCGTAAACACCAAAACAATCTTCATCTAAGTAAACATGAACCCTAAAAAAACAAAATCCAAACAAATAAAACCCATATTAGTTATGCTAAAAAAAAATCTAAAAATAAGCAAAGAAAAGACTCCATTTCAGATACGAATTTTAAAATCTGAATAAAATAATAATAACAAAGAAAGCAATATAGAAACAAGCAAGTTTACCCCTCACTACCATCGTCAAAACACAAAATCAACTCTCCCATAATCAAAAACACGACCACTTTATGAAATTTCTGAACCATCTACAAAAGTAAAAACAAAATAAATAAATATCATAGCTAGCAAAATAAATGCACGAAGCTTTGTCAAAAAAATAAATGCACCAAGGAAAGAAGAAATTAGCCTAATCAAGACACGCTGGAAAACATACAACCAATAGCAGAAAATTTCTACCGCAGGCAAGCATTAGAATTCACAAAAGAACATGGCAGAACACAACAAACAGTAGTGCAATGAAGCCAATCTACTAAAACAAAAAAACACACAAAAACAAAAGCTAGAGATAATGGCCAACGTACTAACAAAACGAAAACAGAAAAGATAAAACGAAAAGTACAAAAGCACGACTCATAGAATAGATACGTGTTATTCAAGAAACAAAACTATATAGACTTTACATCGTGTGTTATAAATTCCACATGAATTATAGACATATATAAAAACAGGAAAAAAAATTAAAAAGTGAGAAGAGTGTAAACAGTTATGAAGAAACAATTCCATAAAAAAAAAAGGTTTGCAACATACAAAGCTAAAAAGTAACAACATCTAAACCTAAAATAATTTTTACGGCTGACGAAAATAAAAGCATGAAAAATTCATATTTATAGTCCATACATAACGTAGGGTTTTCTTTATTTTTTTTTAATTTAATTAACTACAAATAATAGATTCGCAGATATCTGAAAATATCCAATCTGTTGTGAAAACTTAGAAACTTTATTAATCACTGGAATGTATATATAGAGTACATAGGGAATCTAGGTTAAGTACAATGCCCTGATGGGCCTAATAGGCCGGTATAAGAGTCCATATATGATATGTGTTATAACACTCCCCCTTGGACGAGTGAACCGGGCCAGCTACTCAATCGGGATTGCAAACAAACTTAGGCTAAGGTTTTTATATAATGGGTCAGCAAATACGATTTGTGCTAATCTTTTGTAGGTAATCCATGAGCTTTTTTTTTATTTTGTATCATATCAAAATACAGGCTATAACAAATTCACAAAAATTAAAATAGCTCATTACTATAATAATTTTATTAAGGGTAATTCTGCCAATTAATACAAAGACAGGAAAATAATTAACCACTTTGAAACTCAATGAAAAATCTTAAAACTAAAAAATTACTTCGCTTTTAATATATATGATATTTTATTCATTGTTAAAGATCTAACACCCCGTCTAACTAATACTATACACATTTCATATTTTAACCTGTATTACATTCTCTTTCAGCTTTCTCATCTATATATTCTCTTTCCTCTCTCTCATATGATACATTTTACATTTTTACCTTTTTTTACAAAAAAAATCATCCTCTTTTTTTTTTTTTTTTAATCAAATCCTTTTATCCTCTTTCTCATTATCTCTACTTTTATCTCCTCAAAAACTAATAGACAAAAATAGCTGACTATTACATTCATACATATTTTTTTTGACTATTATTCTTGTAATCAACTATCTTATTCTTCTAATTATAAGCTCAGTTTGTTTAGAATAGTTGATTAATATATATGTATATTTATAACAGACTAATTGAATATGTATGTTTCAAAATATATTCAAAATAACATAGATGCATACACAAATCTTGATGAAGTTAAAGTTGTATACTAACAGTAAAAGTAATCGCTGCTATTATTGAAAGAAGAAGTTAGCGTCTACAATTTTTAAAGAAAGAACGGGTCCAACTCGTGTAAAAAAGCAATGTCCAAAATAAGAAAGCAATGGCTCTTTTGTTATTTCATCACTCATTTTAAAGTTGACTACTCTTAATTACTCAATTGTCTGGCTTTTAATAATAGTTACCTAATTTGCTCTTCAAAACCTATTATTCTTGCAAATTATCTTATATTTTTAGGTTATTAATAAATACCTTTTTCAACAAAAAAAACAAAAAAAGGATAAAACATGCAAAGTAATACTGTAAACCGGGTTAAACTACTAACTATAATTAAATACTGTAAATTGATACTTATACAATGTTTAAAATATTTTGGTGCTTAAAGCATCAGTTTGTTGAGCGTCTTTAGCCTAGTGCTTATTTGTAATACATATTTTGTCAACATCCCATATGGGGAAGGTTGGAGTCGACCTCCACTCGGGTGAGATAAGAACAGAAGTGTAACAACCACTAGTCCACTTGCTTCTATAAACATTCATAAACTAGGTTAAAAATATATTGATAAAGTTTAGAAAATTTTATATAGAATATTATAAAATGTTTATTAGGTTTTATACAATTTTATAATATGTATATAAGATTTTGACGTTAAAAACATGTGAATAAAATTGTTCAAGTAGTTATTAATGGAGAAAATTTATGGACGTTCATAAACCAATTGAAAATATAGAGATATTTTTATATACGTTCATAAACCAATTTATAAAAAATTATATTTTAATATTGCAAAGTGCTATTTCAAAAAATATTCTTTTAACTTCAGCTCTTACCAAGATTAAAGAAACTGAATCTAAACCGAATGCCAAAATAACCAGAAAATAATAGAAATTTTAATACCAGATTTACCCTGATCTCCAACCAAATTGAATTCGAACTTTGTTAAACCAAAAGGAACTAACTGAAATTTACTAAAAGAACTAATATTTTTTTAAAATCTATAATATATTTGAATTTATCAAAAAGCAACAATCTTACATAAATTAAGTTAAATCGTTTTTGTTTTTTTTTTAATTCTAACTTTTTGTCCAAAACAGAACCAAAATGTAATTTGTTCCCGAATGGAAATTTTCTAAATCAAAAATTCTGAAGTTAAAAAAATCAGAACCAAACCGAACAAGAATTTGATGTTGAATGCGATCTGAAAAATTCAAACAGAACCAAATAATCGAATGTCCATACCTAGCTGCAGATTAGTTGTTTTGTTTTGGTTTCGAATGGGAATGCTAAATCACAACAGGCGGTTTTGAGATTCTCCTCTTGAGGCCTTTCAAATTATGACAAAATTAAAAGACAAAAGAGATGACAAAATGATGTAATAGTGTTAAAAGTTAAAACCGACCCAAGAATGGAGATATCAACAAAACTTGTTGCAAGAAAATCTCCAGAAACAGAAAGAGCCATGAGAAAGTTTTATAGTGAATTATTGAACAATTGTTTTTAGTGATTTTTTGCTGTTCTTTGTAGAGACTTGTGCCGAAACTACCTTTCGGGCCCAATCCCGATGGAATGGGCTTCAATGTGATACCTCACTTACATGTTAGTTCTTTCTCTCTCTCTCTCACTCTGTTTATCTTTGTTTCTTTTTGCAGCTGTCTTAATGATTTGCAAGTTAACGTTGCCGTGTTTTTTCTGGCAGCTCGCTTTGCGCGAATAATTTGTCTGGTCCTTTACCAACTGGTTTACAAAACTTCAAAAATTTGACATTCCTGTACGTCTGTAATTGTTTTTCTATTACCTGTAGGGATGTGTCTTATAATCACTAGGCTGACCTTGGGGTAAAGCTCGTAAAGCAACTGTTTTAAGCACCATATTTTAATTAAACTTAAGGGGCATCAATTTTAGATAAGTTTTTTTTGGTATATATAGTGATTAGTTGTGGTAAAAGGGCATCATTTTGTTAATGTGTTTCCAGAGGGGTTGAAGCTAACCAGTTCTCTGGTCCGATTCCTGATGAGCTAGGCAATTTGACTAACCTAACAGGATTGTAAGTGTCCTCTCTTGCATCTTTCTTAACCATTTTCTTAAGCTGCAAGAATATTTTGGTTTTATGGGGAAAACATACAGTTTGTGATCTTTCATGAATCTGAGTTTCTGCAGGGAACTTGCGTCCAATCAATTCACAGGTCGCCTTCCTATTACTCTTGCTAGGCTGGTAAACCTTGAAAAAGTGTAAGTTGTTAAAAGTTTTCAAAAGATTCCTTTTTAACTGTAAATATGTTGTTCTGTTGGCACCTAAATCTAGCTGAAACCTGTTAATTTAGAGCCTTTGCATTGAACTTTATAGATGCTTTGTTTCTCTGTACTATGAATTGCTTGATTGTGAACTGATTTGAATGTTATGAAACAACGAAAGCTAGACTGGTCCAAGATGATACTTCCTCTTTTTCATAATATAAGTTGTTTAGCTAAAAACAATGGAGATTAAAAAAATACTGCTCTTCAAAAGGCATTATTTTAATATATATATAGATTATATATTAAAAAATCTCAACCAATCATAAAAAAACTGCATAATATAAATGGTTACACAATATTCAATAAATGTAACTGGTTGCATAGATATGTGAAACCAACTTATATTTTGAAACAAAATTTTTTTCTAAAATAACTTATATTATAAAACAGAAGGAATATGTTATACATTATAAAACAGAAGAAATATGTTTGATCAAAGCTCTAATCTAGTTGTTTGTTTTCATTATGCAGTAGGATAGATGACAATAACTTTACTGGAATCATCCCAGAATACATTGGCAACTGGTCTCGGCTTAAAAAGCTGTACGCGCTAATCCTTCATCACTAAATGTAATTTCTCTTTATTGTTTTCTGTTTCTACACTATCTCAACTGTGTATGATCAGCAGACATCTAGACGCAAGTGGACTGAAAGGACCTATTCCTGACGCAGTAGCCCACACAGAAACTCTTACTGAACTGTAATAAACTACACTTAATGGATTAGCAAAAGGATCATCGAAATGAAGCTCATGTTTTAAAGCATTATATATGTATACGCAGGAGTATTTGTGATACGACTGGGATAAACTCCTTTCCCCAGAATATATCTAGCAAAATCGAACACCTGTATGTTTCTCCCACTGAAGATTTTTTTATTTTCTTAGGATTTTCAGGCTAGATTATAAAGTTAAGTCTCATTCCCTGGTCCAGGATTTTGAGGAATGTGAGTATGTCTGGTCCAATTCCTTCTTATATCTGGAATATTGAAACCGTAAAGACTCTGTAAGTTTCTTTTTATTACTTTAAAAGGACTTTTCAAGTTTAAACATTTGTATTTTTTAATTTTTTTGGGTATGATTTGCAAGTTTTAAAAATATCAAAACTAACTTGTTTAATGTCTTCCACATTTATCTCCTGAGGAGTTTGCGTAGGATCTATAGGTTTATATAAGCAAATTTATTCAGTATTTACACAATTACATATCTATCAAAAGAAATCCATTTATTTTCACAAGCTGTTTGCTGCAGTGACTTATCATTTAACAAGTTGACTGGTGAAGTTCAAGGAGTACAATTCGTACCAAAATTCAATTGGTACACGTAAGTACTATAATAATATTTTGAGAATTTTGGAGACATTTTCGCAAGAAAACTACAGAATCACTCTGTATAATTTACCAATAGACATGTTCTTTTTCAGCTATTTGACTGGCAATATGCTTTCTGGATATATTGAATCTGGTGCTTTACTCAGCAGCAAATCTATTGTGTACGTTCCAGGCCTTCCCTTGTTTATGTGGCTTGAAAAAATTTCTGCCTTGTCTACTAATCGTCTTATCAATTTTCTTTATTCGGTGAATCTTCACAGCGATCTCTCGTATAACAACTTCTCATGGTCGCCTAGTTGCCAAGAAAAGCGGTAAGAGCATCAGAGCATGATATCTTGGTAGGCCGGATAGTCTTCTAGTAATTGTTTATAACCTACTTATGTTGATGTTTCTGTTCTCTCTTTCTGTTGAATCAGTAACATTAACACATACCGGAGCTCATATTTGAAGAAGAATTTGTAAGTATTCTATGCTTTATCTTGGAAGGAGATTAAACTTAATAGTCTTAATAATGTCTTGTGCCTAAATATTCTGATCGTCTTGTCATACAGAACGCTTCTTCCATGCGCTGGTGGAATCAGCTGCAGGAACGGGAACTGTAAGTACATACATTGATACATATACTCATATAGAGCCGTTATGACTTCTCTCAAAAATGCATTAGTTATATTGATGTACATCAAAAACTTTATAATTAATTATGCTAGAATTATGCCATTTTATTAATTTTATTATAAAGTTCGTAATTTATGAAAAATATACTAAAATTGCTTAAAAACAGTTTTTAAATCAGTAAATCCATATTAATTAGTTTATTTAGGTCCACAATCTTCTAATTTGTTTATTTAATTTTTTAAAGCACATTCTTCTTGAATGTTTCTTTATTTAAAAGGGAATTTACTTTATATTTTTAATGCAATCATTAGCAAATTAATCTGATTAATAGAACATAAAAATTATAGAAACCTAAATAGAGTTCATTTTATTTTCTTTCCTTTTTTATAAAAATATGTTTTTGTATAAAATATTATAACATTAATTCAACTAATGATTAAACAATTTGTAGAATACAAATTTTAATTTTCCTAAAACATCACTTACGGTGAAACAGAATCATTGAGTATATTCAACTTATTATTCTACTAGGAATTAATTTGCGCGATACACATAATTATAATATTTTAAATATTATATTATAAAAATTTATTATAAAATGTTGGCTAATAAATTTTATAATATCTTTAACTAATGATAATAAATATTGTAGTTTAAACAAAATAAGTAGTTTATTTAACCTATTAACAGTGGATTAGAATATAATTCAAGCTAACCCATAATAAATTATAATATTGTAATGGTCTGTGAATATAAACAAATATTTTATCATGTTTAAATATATATAAAAATAGTATAATATTTTTCAAACTTAGGTTTGATATATATATATATATATATATTTAAATAAAAATACAACAAATTATTGTTAGTTTTGAACGATAAATCATAATATTTAGTAATTTGAGAATCTATACTATTATTTACGAAGTTAAATTCTTACGTGTCAACACCAGAGCAATTTGCTTATGTGTCATATATACGTGTCATTTTTTTAAATTCTAATTGAATTATCATTAATCCTACGTGTTATTATGATTAATATGATTTTAATGAGCCATCGGTACTATTAAAAATAATGGGCCATCAATTTTGTTTAATTCACCAAATCTGTAAAATGGGTCACCAAAAATTTTTTTAAAAAAACCCTAAAACATTTATCCTACACTATATATATATATAGTTAGTCTCCATTTGTTTTTCACCTACAACAACTAATTTACCCTTCTCAAAAGTCTAATTCCTCTTCTTAATTTTTTTCAGCAGCATCGTTTAAATTTTCTTCTGTTATCTCTGTATTCATATATTTTTTTTCATAACGAACTCCATTTATGCATTTTAATTTTAAAACGATTACGTGGTGTTAGATCTTCCAAACTTCTTACGTGTAAGATCTCCAAATTTTCCAAACTTCAAGGTGACATTACCATTACGCGTCGTAAAACAAGTTACCTTGATTTTTCATAACTTGATTTTCTTGTTTAAATCACTTCTGTTTATATTATTTATAGCTTCTGTTTATACCTTCTTTATTTTTTTTTAAATCTAGGTATCATCCTGCAAAATCAGCTCATTGATTCAAACAATTGATTAAAACAATGGATCTAACAGGTGATTCTTATAAATATAAACTGATTATAATTTTTTTTTTTAAAAAAAGTAACATAATCGCATATTCTATCTATTGTTTTTATCTGTTGGACAGGTGACTCAAATCAAAACGAGACGGTTTGTGTTCTAGATCCACATCACGAACACTCTGATAGCGATCAAGAATATGTCGATGCATTTATTCAACCAAACAAACAATAAGTTCAACCATCTATACGGTAAGTTCAAAATAAATAAAAAATGTGTTAGTCCGTCTTTAATATTAATATTTTTCTCTGCATAGATATAGTTACTTATATCAAGCATGTGCAAAAAAAGGATGCCCGTATCCAAGGAGGCATTGTTGTTAGAAGAATTGTTCTAACATTGATACTAGAAAGGTATGGATATACTTTAAAAAATAGATTTATAAATTTTAACCATATCTAGGATTGTTTGTTAAAATCGTCTCATGATTAATTTTATACTAACATTTAAGCTTATCAAACAATGCAATTAATGGAATCGACACTACAATGGTACTGTGGGGAGAACAAGCTGAACAATTTGAAGATAAGTTAAGGCTATTTAGTAAAACTAATGTTGTTATGATCACAACAAGTGTGCTGGGGAATATTTATAATGGTGTAGTTTTCTTGTCAGCTACGCCAGCAACTTTGTCCTATTTGAACAAAGATTTTCAAGCTATCGATGATTTCAAAAACAGGTCAAATCACTTCCTAAGCCATTCTATTACCAACAACTATAAATTATATCCTACATTTATTAGATATAAAACTTATGCATGCAGGCTCCCTTTCAATGGTATCTGTACTGTGGATTGTGGCGAGATTGTTGAAGATTATTCCTGTGGTCCTCTGCAATATTACAAGTTCATCTGCAATTATAGGAAAGCCTACTATTTCATCTGCCGGACCAACTCGTGTTCACATAAATCCTCTTGTAACAAAAGTGGATGATTTCGTTACTATGTTAGTCATATTCTACTAACGACTTTTATAATATATAGGCTGTCTACAATTGTCCATCTTTAAACTTTTACCTGTTTTTTAAGGTTACCAAGAAAACGATCTCGGCCACTAACGAGGAGTACTTCCCGATGTCATTGAACGAAGTTATTATTCAGAGGCTAATATTTATTAGGACTATCTATAAATTTTCTTACAAAGTGTGTTATACAACAATATTCATATTTCAATAAGTTTACAACAGTATGTTGTTCTTTTAATATTTCGATTGATAAAATAGTTTCTAATTATTTTTTAATAATCATTGATAAATTTAGAAATTAAGCATTTAATATAGACCATAGATTGTACTATTTTCCTATAATCAAACAAAACAGAAAATAATTAAATTACTTGGGTCATAAGTGTAACCTAATTTGGTATTCTCTTCACTCTTCTCTCTATAAATATAATATCCCGTATTTCCTTTAAATTGTTGATCAACATAAATCTTCCATATATATCCGAATCTTAAAAGATTTAGTTAATCACTATCCCATATAAATAAGTAAATTTTCTTCTCCCCAAGTACCAAGCCGTAATCCTACACTAAAATCAAAGTGCGTGTATCTTAAACAAAATATATTAACCATAAAAGATATGTAAATTGATAAAATATGTAAATAAGTGTCTGCAGTAAAGATGTGTTTTAAAAGTATTAAAAATCCCACATTGGTAAGATCTGCTAATAACTAAATCTTCACAATGCTATATATACCTCTTATCAATCATCAACTAAGACACACAAACCATTCTCCTTTTCTTATACAGAAAAAGGTGAGATTCAGTCTAAAATTTTTAAAAACTTAAAAGCTTAAAAGCTTTAAAGTAGCACAAAAATTCCATCTATATGACTATAGGTCTTAGAGATTAATATGAGTTTCACTTTCGGATCTACTCCGATTATTCATTGAAAAGTTCATATTAACTTAGGTCGAGCTTTATATTAGTTACTGTATTTATTTGGTGAAATTAGGAACAATGAAAGCAGTAAGGGCCGCTCTCTAAGATGTGGAAGAAGAAAGAATGCATGCATCGAGTTTTGAGAAGAAAATATCATATAGTTTTGGATCCAATTTTGGGTTGTTTAAAGGAATAGGCTTACATGCTCATTAGATAGCATTCGGTAAATTTCTGGCTCCGTGATTGTAACCTCAGAAAACACTTTGATATTTATATAATCTTTCATATATTAAAAAAGTTTTGGCAGGAAGATATAACGAAGAGAGATTAACATAGCAAACATAAATGATAGAGTAGACACAAATTAAGGCGTCTTTAACACATGCGAAATAGATCAGTAGAATAGATGCCAAATACGAGTTTTAAAAGAAAAAATTATTTATATATAAATATATAAATTTAAGTCTATATTTGAGCATCAGCAATGAATTATTGTTAGTCTCGGCAATGAATTATTTCATCAGCAATGAATTATTGTTAGACGAAGATTGGCTGTGAAGATTAGGGTTTCCCATTGTTAGTCTAGACAAACGATAATTAAGAATCCGAATTATAGGTAAAACTAAATAGTTTTGTTTGATTTATTTATTTTTTAGGGTTTTAGAAAAAAAGTTAAAAAAATCAAATGTAACGTGGTTTTGGTATAGTTTTGATTCAAATTTGAGTTTGGTTCAGTTCAGATATGGAGTCGGTTACAGAAAATCATAACAAAAAATAAAATAATTAACTAATTTGTAAATAAAATTGTAGATATTAGTATTTTTTTCCCAAATAAAATTATTATGTTGAGTTTAGCTTAGTACGTTCATTCGGGTTATCTTATAATTTGGTTTAAATTCAGAAATTTCTGTACCAGAATTTAGTCCATCAAATCATCATTCGGTTTGAAGTATAAATTGCGACTATATGTAGATTATTGAAATATATATTTTATTGTAGTATACTAAAGTATAAATTATATGAGTACATATATATAGATTATAGATGTATATATTATGAGTTTTAGAATTTTGAATTAAAGATTATGGATATATATAATTTATTGAAGTATGCATTTGTATTGAGTGAATTAAAACAATGTCTTTGATTACTGCAGTTACATCTCTCTATATATATGGATCCTCCATATTCGTGGTTTTCAATCAATAAATTTAAAATATAAATTTCATATTTTCAATGTCGTTTTTAACAGTTTAATCATTTGCAGGATAAAGTGGTATTCGTTCTTCTATAGTGATGCCTCCAAAGAAGAAATATAGACCGAGAACACCAAAACCAAAACCGATTCCTACTTTTAATAGACGTGACATCAACACTATTATTACTAACTCTTTCTCATTGAATAAAGATATCTTAATATCAAGTTTTTAAAACATTAATTATTCGGTTATGCAGGTTTACTTTCGAAAAGCCCGCAATATGCACCAGAAGATACCATATTTAACCAAACTGGAGATGATATTACCTTGAAAAGAAAACGTTCTCAAATGGCCAGGAAAACAAGGATCAAAATTTTGCGATCAAAAAGAGCACGTCATAATCATCAAAACGCAGGTTAGTCTTCATCTACCTCGAAATATAATTTTGTATAAATTTCCCCTCTGTGTCTGACATATTATATTGAAATATTTAAGCAGATCTCTTACCCAAACCAGACGGAATAGATGATTTCGTCTGTTTTGTTGCAACTGATGATGAGACTGAAAGTGAAGACACTCATCACAAAGAAAGATTATCTAAATCACAAGATACAGCTGATAAATTTGCAACTAATCAACAATTTTTACGAACCGACTGTTCTGATTTTGCTGATATTGGATTGGCTACCAATGGTAACTTTTTTTACAATGTCCAATCTATACTATTTCAAAACCATATATTCGAATAAACGAGTTACTAATATATTTCATAATCAATCTACATAGGTTATTATGATGAAGGTGATCAAGCTTATATGTGTAGTCATTGCAATGCATACATGTGGTTTGGAGAAAGAATAAATAAAAGGCGCATTAAAGGAACCCCTATTTTCACCATGTGTTGTCATAAGGGAAAAGTAACTCTACCTCTTCTTAAAAAACCACCAAATACAATACTCTCTTTACTTTACAACAAAGGTGATACTCGAACACATTTTCGTGAGAACATTCGGACATACAATATGATGTTTTCCTTTACATCTCTTGGTGGAAAAGTGAATAATAATATCAACAAAGGTCCTGGGCCATACGTGTTTTAGCTGTGTGGTGAAAATTATCATAGAATATGTGATATGATACCAGCTACTGGTAAACAACCGGCTTTCTTGCAGCTTTATATACATGACACAGTCAATGAAACGAAAAATCGTATGGCTCATTTTAGGTATTTTTCATTTAACGTCTACAATCCAAATTTTAAAGTTCTAAATTCTATCTACTAAATGTCTAAATCATTTACCTATTATGCAGTAATGATGGGACGCCCAATGGTCTAAGAGAAGAAATAGTCGAGGCATTGAAAAAAATGTTGGACACTCATAATACTCATGTCAAAGCATTTAGAACAGCTCGTGATAGGCTTTCAATGAGACCTGACTTGAATGGTATGCGCCTGGTACTCAGAAGCGGTAGAGCGACCGATGGTAGAACTCATAATCTTCCAACCGCAAATGACGTCGCCGCACTAATACCTGGTGACTTTAGTGGTGATAGAGATAAGCGTGATATTATAATAGAGAGTGATAAAGGTGAATTTCAACGGATCAGTGAGTTGCATCCCATTTATCTACCATTGCAATACCCATTGTTGTTTCCATATGGTGAAGACGGATTCAGGTTAGGTATTGATATTGGTTTTATTAACATGGAGGGTAAAAAACAAAAGCATGTTACTATGCGTGAGTTCATCGCTTTCCGAATCCACGAGCGTTTAGGAGAATCTCCTATTATTATGATGTCCGGAAGACTTTTTCAGCAATTTTTAGTGGACACTTATACAATGATCGAATCTAACAGGTTGTGATATATTTGGCTGAACCAGAATAATTTTCGTTCAGATCATTATGATAAGATTGTCTTAACTGCTGAAAAAGGTGAATCTAATCTTGCGGAGCAAGGTAGGAGAATTTTCATTCCATCTTCATTTACTGGTGGTCCCAGGTATATGATGCAACACTACTTGGATGCAATGGCTGTATGCAATGGCTGTATGCAAGTACTATAGATATCCAGATTTCTTTATTAAGATAACGTGTAATCCTAAGTGGCCAAAGATTACAAGATATTTGCAAAAACATAATTTAAACATAGAAGATAGGCCAGATCTCTGTTGCAGAGTATTCAAATTGAAGCTGGACAATCTTATGGATTATTTATCCGAAGATGAAGTATTGGGAAAAGTAAATTCAGGTACTTTCAATATCTTAAAATTTTAAAAAAGTTTTTAATTAGAAAAAAATACTAAGTTTTTTTTTACAAGCTTAACTTATTTGATTTTTTGTTTTTCCTCGGCTCAACAATGTACACAATTGAGTTTCAGAATAGAGGTTTACCGCATCACATATTATACTTTTCTTGGATCCAGAGTCTAAAGTCCCAACTGGGGATGACATTGACAAGTTTATTTCCGCAGAGATTCCTGATAAGGATTTAGAACCTCATCTTTACGATGTGATAAGTGATTCAATGCTACATGGACCATGCGGTGAGTTAAATAGGAACAATGTGTGCATGCAGGATGGATCATGTACTAAGTTCTATCCAAAACCTTTTAGTTCAATCACGAAGATTGACGATGCTGGTTTCCCAATATATAAGCGAAGACCTGACGGTTTGGTTATCACCAAAAAGGGAATTGAACTTGACAACAGATATGTGGTTCCCTATAACAAAAAGCTCTCACTGCGATTTCGTACTCATATATTGAGTGGTGTAATCAGACTAGATCGATTAAATATTTGTTCAAATATATTAATAAGGGTCCAGATTACATACAAGCTAAAGTTGAGAAAAATGGCGAAGAAGTTAAAGTTGATGATGAGGTCCAAAGATTCTTAAATTGCAGGTCAGTTATATTTCAACAATATATCTATATTATTCCATGTTATTAACAATTATTTTAACAAATTTTCTAAATATTAAAGTATCTGTCGCCATATGAAAGCAGTTGGAGGATCTTAGCTTTTCCTACCCATTTTCGTACCACAGCAGTTGTACAGCTGTCTTTTCATTTACCTAATCAACAGTTTGTTGTCTATAATGAAGACGATCCCGTGAAGAAGTAATTAATCGTCCATCAGTTGCACGGTCAAAGTTTCTAGCTTGGTTTGAGGCAAATAATCAATTTGAGGAGGCTGCCAATTTGACATATGCTGAATTTCTAACTATGTTTGTTTGGGTAACAAAAATCAGATCCTGGAAAGTACGGGAAAAAGGTTTTGCTATTGGGAGAATTACGTATGTGCCACCTTCTTATATAGAAGCATACCATCTAAGAGTGTTGCTTAACATTGTCCCGTGTCCGAAAAGCTTTGAGGATTTACGCAAAGTGAATGGAGTTGTTTATCCTAAATTTAAGAATGCATGTTATGCTTTAGGATTGCTTGATGATGATAAAGAGTATATTGAGGCTATTAAGGAAGCAAGTTTATGGGCATCTGGCAAGTTCTTGCGCCGATTATTTGCTATTATTCTGGTTTCTAATTCTGTCACTGCCCCTCAAGAGCTTTGGAATTCAACATGGGAATATCTTACCGAAGATATCTTATACAAGATGAAAAAAAACAAAAGAATCAAAGTACATTTCCTAAACATGTTTTTAATATATTTCTATAAATAATTACTCATATTCAAATAGATAAATAAACTTTTCTTACCTTGCAGATTTGATTATGTCTGATATGCAGTTGAAGAATCACGCATTGTTTAAGATAGAGAAATACATGCGTCGAAATGGTAGCACTTTAAAGAATTTTGACACAATGCCTAGACCAGATGATGTTTCATTCGAAAAAGACAAGAATCCTCTGATTCTCGAAGAAAAAAAATTATGATCGTGAAAAGTTACGTGCAGCACATAGAGAAATGTTGAAAACCATCACCGATGAACAAAAGAGTATATATGATCAAATTATTGGAGCAGTGAACAACAATAATGGTGGTATGTTTTTCGTATATGGTTTTGGCGGAACGGGTAAGACTTTTTTATGGAGTATTCTTGGTGCTGCTCTTAGATCTGAAGGCATGATAGTTCTTAACGTTGCATCTAGCGGGATAGCATCATTGCTGTTACAAGGAGGCCGAACTGCACATTCACGATTTGGCATCCTGATTGCTGTTAATTCAACAACAATGTGCTCAATAAATAGCAATTCACTCAGGCTGATCTGATAAGAGAAGCAAAGCTTATCATATGGGATGAGGCTCCTATGATGAGTAAATATTGTTTTGAAACTCTGGATAGAAGTATGCGTGATATACTCAAAAATGATGACATTTTTGGTGGGAAAGTCATTGTATTCGGAGGAGATTTCAGGCAAATATTGCCTGTTATTGTAGGAGGTAATAGCACCCAAACTCTTATGGCTACCATAAATTCTTTTATTTTATGGGACAGTTGTACAGTTTTAGAACTAACCAAGAATATGAGGCTTCAAAATGGTGCTGGAGGTGATCGCGATAATGAGCTATAGGCATTTTCAAAGTGGATTTTAGATGTAGGAGACAGCAAAATTATTTCGACTGACAACGATGAAGCTGAGATTGAAATTCCCTGACAAGATTTCCTTTTAGAATGAGGCGTAGACAATTTTTGGTAGCTATCGTCTATGCAATGACTATCAATAAAAGTCAAGGACAGACTTTGCAAAAGGTTAGCCTGTATTTACTAAAACCAGTATTTTCTCATGGACAACTTTATGTGGCTATATCACGTGTTACTTCAAGAGCTGGTTTGAAGATTCTGATAACAGATACAATGGGTCAGCCACAAACCAAGACTTTAAACGTTGTTTACAAAGCCGTCTTTCAGAATGTAAGGAAACGATAATTTTTTTAAAAAGGTTTAGAGTTATACTATTTAAATGGTTTATTTGATTATTTATTAAATGACATTTTAGTTTACTTATCATTTTCCTATTAATTATTGTCTTCATCGTCGAAAATCAAACATAAAACAAATAGAATACAAAACAATTAATTGTGTTTGCAGAACTAATGAATCTTTTAAAAAATACAATTATCCAACTAAACAATTTTATGACTATGAATGCTCTTTCAAAATAAAAAGTTTCTATAATACATTAGCATTTTGATATCATAAAAAAAAAGTACTCAGCTTCATGAACTTTGCAAACCCGCACGATGCGCGGGTCTCCACCTAGTAGTACTTATTTTAAAAGTTAATATTTTAATAAACATTTAAAAATTAAAATCTTTATATCAGGCTAATCCATTTACTTAATTTATTTGATTGGATTAAAATATAATCTTAAAATCACTTTTCTAATGTACACTATTTAATGATTCTCATTCTACTATGAACTTATTAAAAAAATAATTTTTTCATGTAAAATATTTGATAAAAATAGTTTAAAAATTTTATTTTTATATAATTATGTAAATATAACGAATTATGGTAAATAAAAAATGCTTCACCACTTTTTAATATCATAACTTTAATTTTGACTTTTCATGTTTGTTCAATTGAGAAAATAAATGTGATATCATTGATAATATAATATCATTTGAAACACAAAAAATATTAAAAAATATCATATTTTTTAATTCAAAAATTAAATAATGAATATACTCTATTAAATGAAAAATAAAAACTTTCCTATTTTAGTATTCTTTGTTATTTGTTATGGCATTTCATGCAGTAATTTACAAAATAAATTTTAATTTTAAAATATCTATTTAAATAATAATATAAAGATGTGTTAATGAGACCATATATTTGTATCGAATTTTTATAAAAATTTTCGAATTGTTTTACCATATTTATTAATATATCGAATATTATAGTGTTTCAGTGTTCAGACTTTTATGATTTTTCTTAATTCTTTTTTTAACATTTAAAAATAAGTCAATTTTACTCTTTTTAACTGATGGTGATAGTTGGAGTTAAAAAAAAGAGTGAATTTGCTAGAAAATCTAAAATTTGGTCAAAATTTGCTAAATGAGAAAAACAGTAAATTGGTGGGACATTGCTCTGACACTTTGAAGCTGTTATAACTCTTTACCCCCTTCTTCCTTTGTTACGAGTCTTCCTTCCCTGTATGAAGTTTCTCTCTCATCATCTTTCTTTCGTTAGCATATAAATTATACAATTACATAACTTGTTATTATACTACATACTTTGTTATCTTGCTAACACTTAGCTTACATCAATTATACATATAAATTAACGTCTAGCATTATAATTAACTAGGTACAAAATATGTAAGATTGATAACAATAATGAGTTATATAGATGATCAAAGATGTTATTGGTATACTTAGCATAATACATATAAAATTAACGTCTAACATTATAATTAACAAGGTAAAATATATGTTAGATTGATAACAATAATGAATTATCTAGATTATTATAGGTGTTATTATTGTAGTTAGTATGCTACAAAAACATATAACACTCTATATTTATTGTTAGTAATCTAACAATAAAATTATAGGAGTAATTCAAATAGATACACACTTTATATATACGTTAGCTTGGCGGATTTAATGGCGGAGATGCCGATATTGTCGCTGGAGGCGGCGGCGCGATTGTTGTTTCTGGTGTAGATGGAAGCGGTGCGGTGGTTGTATCCGAATCCGGCAGAGGAGGTGAAAATTGCGGCTGAGGATTCGAATTAGGCGTAGAAGAAGGCGGGGCAGAGGTGGTTCGGGTTTACGATCGGCGCCGGCGGATTTGAGAGAATTGGAACAGACGGGTTTGGTGATGATGAATCGGTTGGAGCGGATGGGGAAGATCCAAGAACAGGAGGGTCCAGGTTTGAATTCGGGTCAGGATTAGGAAACAGAGTTATAAAAAGTGGAAGAAGAAGAAAATGAATAATAGTCGCTGGAAGAAGAATAAGAAGAATCAATGAAAGTGTTCGAAATTTTATAAAATATTAAATTAAATATCTTTGACATAATATCATGCATGATCATCTAAAAATTATAGAGAAGTAGGGGTAATATTGGTATATTATAAATTGTACAGTACTCCAAAAGTGTTTTTTCCCATCTTGCAAATTATGAACAGCACTTGGGTTATCTAGTGCATTTACTTTAAAAAAAAAATTGATGGTGATAATTGTTATAGATTGTAGATCAGCGATCACTACATATAAATTGTGGTGGAGAGAGCGTGAGTATTACAAACTCTTTGGGCAAAATCACTTATCAAGCTGATAATGGTATAACCAACGCCGAAACAAATCAGCACTCGGAATTCTGGGGAATCAGTAACACAGGTGACTTTAAGGATGATGGAAGCGAGGATGATACCTACACTACTTCAACTGGAGATTCTACCGATCTTTATAAGACTGCACGTCGATCAGCTCTCTCTCTAACTTATTATGCGTCTGCTTGGAAAATGGAACCTATAATGTTCAACTCCATTTTATAGAGATTCAGTTTTCAGACAAAGAACTATACAGTCGTGTTGGTAGGCGCATATTTGATGTCTATGTTCAGGTAAACTTTAACTATTTACTGAATAATTGCTAATTTGTAATCATACTTGGGAAATCAGTTGCGTGAAAGATTGAAGTTACTGCTGTTGTGTTTTTCTTCTCCCTTGTAAGGAAAAATTGTTTTTGAAAGATTTTAACATCAAAGAAGAGGCTAATGGGACTCTGAAGCCTGTGATCAAAACTGTTAATGCGAATGTGACTGATCATGTATTAGAGATTCGGTTGTATTGGGCGGGGAAAGGGACAACACTCATTCCCAAAAGAGGATATTATGGTCCTCTTATCTCTGCTATCTCCTTGTGTTACAGTAAGCACCCTTCTCCTCTGCTCGTTGAAACTCCATTTCATTTAACTATCTGCTTCAGAAACCTTACTCTCGTATGACTTTCAAGGAGTTCTTCACAACGAGTTGTTTCACTCTCAAATGGCCATATAACTTTAGATTATTACGTTTTTGTAAATAGTTTCTTTTTGTGCTTCTTCATAATATTCATCTTTCAAAATTTTAGGTCAGGAGCCACGATGCGGAGGTTCTTAGACAAAGAAAAAATACTGTTAACAAATTTCTTTCTATAGCTTGGTTTATATATGATGCAACTGTATATATGTTTACACTTTTAGTGTATCGTTTGCAGCGGAGAAAATAAAACATCAAATTAAATATCCCCTAATTTTGGGGTCAATGGGTGCCTTGGTTACAATTATTCTCTTGGCTTTGGGAATATATGCTCGGAGAAGGTGCAGAGGAGGCAATAACACAAGAGAACGAGGTATCAGATTTGGTACTGTATGAATTCATTTCTGGTACATGACTTTGTTTTAGCATATTAATGATTTCGATGGGCACCTGATCACACATAGATCTGAAAGCCCATGGTTTGCAAACAGTTTGCTTTACTTGGAGGCAACTGCGAGCTGCAACAAATGATTTTGATCAAGCCAACAAACTTGGAGAAGGAGGTTTCGGATCCGTCTTCAAAGTATGCTAAAACAGAGGCCACGTTCTCCTCAATTGTAAATACCTGAGAAAATATGGCTGTTTTTTGGTTTATGATATTGATATAAGAAATCAAATGCAGGGAGAGCTGTCAGATGGAACTATAATAGCAGTCAAGCAGCTTTCTTCCAAGTCATGCCAAGGAAACCGCGAGTTTGTCAATGAGATAGGCATGATCTCAGGGCTGAATCATCCAAACCTTGTCAAGCTTTATGGATGTTGTGTCGAGAAGAATCAGTTGTTGCTTGTGTATGAGTACATGGAAAATAACTCACTTGCTCTTGCGCTGTCTGGTAAATAAGAGTCGCTCAGATTTCCTTTATGTTTTTAGTGTGATTTAATTTACATATATGATATATTTTTCACCTGTAAAAGTGATATTATTCTTTTTGGGTTACATCCATTGCTAGGAAAAAACTCCCTGAAATTGGACTGGACATCGAGACAAAAAATATGTGTTGGAATCGCAAGAGGGCTTGAATTTCTTCACGAAGGATCGATGATCAGGATGGTTCACCGTGACATAAAAACCACAAATGTGCTTCTAGACGCTGACCTAAATGCAAAAATATCTGACTTTGGATTGGCTAGGCTCCATGAAGAAGAACACACTCACATTAGTACCAAAATTGCAGGAACCATGTATGAGTAGATTATAAAACTGAAACCGCCACCGAGCCAAAGAAATATAGATCAGTCTTGGTTTTTCTTATAATGCAGCGGATATTTGGCTCCAGAATATGCATTATGGGGTCAACTAACAGAGAAAGCAGAAGTGTACAGCTTTGGCGTTGTGACAATCGAAATTGTTAGCGGAAAGAGTAATACGAAACCGAAGTGAAATGGTTATTACGTCTCCCTTATCAACTGGGTAACCGTGGAGCTTTTCCTCTATTAGCCCATTCGATTCAAAATTTAGATAGTTGAATCTGTGTATTTACGTTTCCATAAGTTTACTGAAACCCGATTTTGCATGGAATACCAGGCACTGACGCTGCAACAGACAGGGGACATAATGGAGATTGTAGATCCGATGCTCGAAGGTGATTTTAATAGTACAGAAGCAGTAAGGATGATCAATGTTGCTCTCCTTTGCACAAACTCATCTCCTTCGTTGAGGCAAACAATGTCAGAAGCTGTGAGCATGCTCGAGGGAGAGACTGAAATAACTCAGGTTAATTCAGATCCTGTTTTATATGGACACAATTGGAGCATCTCAATCCTCTGTTTCGGGTTCTGATCTCTACCCATTATACCCAAAATCTGTGAACATAAATTCCACAGTAGAGTTTCCTTCCCCGACACTGTAATATTAAAAGCTGTGCAGATTACGATATCTCTTATGAGAGAAGAAGGGTTGTAGTTATTTATATCACTAAAGATGTCTAAGACCTTACATTAGCTCAATTTACATAGATCCAGAAAACACGTGTGTATCCCCAGTGCCGTGCGAAGACCTGCAAATTTTAAAAATATATATATATTATAATATTTTATCAATAATGATATAAATTATATTAAAAATTATAAATAAATTCTAAGTTTTTGAAAAATCTCTTAGATAAATGTTATATATCTTTTTCTTCTACAAACAATAAATTCTTAAAAACTTAAGAAAGAATTAAACTTATAGCATAGAAAAACAAAAATAGAAAACTGTTCTTAAAAATAATTATTAAAATCATTCAAATTTTAGTTAGAATATAAAGTTAATTAAAAAAGTAGTTATTGTAAGCGGAAGTGAGGCTTGAATAACTGAATTCATGTGCATATCAAATTAGGAGGAGACATTAACCACTACAACATAAAAGATATTTTGTATTTAAGGGCCCTAAAATTAATTATATTATTTGGGGGCTTGAGACAAATGCCTTTTTCAATACACTATAAGCACAGCTTTGTGTATCCCTATGAATGTTTGTCAAAGTTATCCTTTGATGCTCTTTTGCTCATGATATGCCTTGGAGATCTTACTATCGCAAACAGCAGAAATAAAAAGATACAAAGCTGGCAACTAAAGAATGCTGAGTTAGATACTAAGATTAGTAAGTCCAATTGAATCTTATTGTAAATGGATGCAAAGTGTTTTTTTTTGGAGAATTGTTTTTTTTTATAATGCTAACTAGTGATTTGGCATGCACCCTGTACGGGCTCGAATTGTTATTTTATGTGTTTTCATTAGTATTTTATTGTTCTTTTCTTGTATAAAGTTTATAAGTATGTTTCTGCTATGACATGATTCTTATTGTTGTAATTTGATAATTCTGTTTGCTTTCAAAATACATCTATAGCTCGTGGAGTTTTCTATTTTAAATGTATTTGACGTTTTTTCATACTTTAGTAGTTATAGTCTTGTCTGCTAGTGTTCAATAGCTGCGAAAAAAGTTAAATTTGTATTGGTATAGTTGTTTTTCAGTCTTAACCTTACTGTTTGATCGCAATTTCCTTGTAAAGATTGTATGTTAGATTTATTTTTCAAATAAATAGCATATATTAGTAAGTGCCAACTAATATCTGTTAAACAAAGTAATATGTAAAAGAGTGCAACAAATGACTTTAATTCAGAAATTGATATAAAAGTGACAAGTATCTCTAAGCGAAAATCACTATAAAGAATGAAAACAAAAATGATGTTCTTCTAGTTTTTGTAAACATGGCGATTAAGCACTAAATTTTAGCATAAACTTCCTTGTAGACAATATTGATTGTTCTCCTTTGCGGTACTCCTTTCTCGTCAGTAATAAATATTTTCAAACTTTTTCTAGATGTTACTCTTGAAACTGCAACATAAAGCTGACCGTGAGATAATACATGTTTGGGGAAATATAACCCAACTCTCTCAAGCGTTTGACATTGACTCTTGTTAATAGTCATTGCAAAAAGAAGTGTTATAGGGAACTGTCTATGACGCATACAAAAGGGAAAGTGTGTGTCTACTGGTGTTACAAACATCCTTGGTATTAACACACACTCATCAACGAATCGTAATTTCCCATAATCACCCTAGCCTCGATAACATGAGTTGCCAATTTAGTCACTATCAATCTTGTACCATTGCACAATCCAGTTTTAGGGTCAATGTTTCGTAGTAACATTATCAGAGCTCCCACCTTCAAGAATAGTTTGTGATTAGGTATACCTGAAATCTTAATGCTATTCAAAAACCCTTGCGTATATATGATGTCGTCAACATCATTTATGTCTGAAGGTTCAATACTATCTGCATTTAGATATCTTTTTTCTTCACTTGAATATTTAACAATTTCAAACATTAGTTACATATAACAGAATATTAATTTTAGTACCGTTTTTAATAATCATTCTCTATTTAATTTGAAATACGAATGTATATAACGTTTAAGGTGAAGATCGCTCATGACTAAGTCCATATTATTGTTAAAATATGTCTCCATATTTTAAATTTATTGGCCGAATTAATGATATTAAAATTGTCTTAAAATTTTGAAAAATACCTGGTAACTTTGATAGCATATGTTGGTTAATGATCTCCACATCCACATTCGTAAGACTCGATATAGCTCTATCTCTAAAGAACTGTGCATCTGTATTGGTGGCAAACCAATTCACCATAAATCTCCCGAACAATCGATCGTACATGATTGTCGCAATCAAGAATTAGCAAATCTTCTTGTATCTCAATTTCAACTTCTCCAGTATTAGGCTCGTTTATTTTTCCGTCACCAATATCTAATATCCACTATGAGAATGCTTTAAGATCTTCAGCATCGTCATCAGTCAGACCTGCGTGCAATCTCATATTTTGTGTAAGTTGTAAAACTTCACATTTTTGCCAAAGCGCTGATGAATTTAAAGCGGCCATCAAGGTTTGAGACCGTGTCGCATCTAATATTACTGGCAATCACCGCCAAAAACAATCACCTTACCACCAAACGGTTTCTGATACTTTAATATATAACACATGCTTCTATGCAATGTCTCGAAGCAGAACTTGCTCATCATGGGGGCCTCATCCCATATTATAAACCGAGTCTCTTCTACAAGAAAAAAGGTATATTGTTACAAAAAATTTTGTAACAATAATCATAATTTCGTCACAATAAAATTATTGTGACGGAGTTGTGATATTTTTCAACAGTCACAATAAAGTCGTCACAAACTTATTTTTGTAGCAAAACCGTCACATCATATGTGACGAATATCTTTCGTATTTATATTGTCATTAATGGTGACGAAAACTAAACGTAAGAAAACCGTGTCAATTAGAGACTATAAAAAACGTCTAGAAATTGTCTCGTTTTGCTACGCATATAATGTCTCACAGTTGTCACTTTTTGACGTATTTTTAGTTACAAATCGTCACAAATAATAACGAGAGTGTCGTCGCATATTTGTAACGCTTACAGACTAAAAACATAGTCCTAAAACCATCATATTTTGTGACTACTACACTGTCTCTATTTTGTCACTTTGTTCGACAAAAATTTAGTCACAAACTGTCATAAGTAATAACATAAAGAACATATACTATCAATCTTAATTTGTGACAACTTTTATTGTACCAAATTTTGTCTCGTTTTTTTACTAAAACTTTGTAACGATTTCGTCTTAATTAGCTACTGATTTATTGTCTTTAAATCATCATTATTCTTTACTAAATTATTGTCATAATTATTCATGCTGTTTGGCTTTTTTCTCACCTAAAACGTCATTACAATTTTTTCAGCTAATTGTGAATCATTCATTAAAAAACAAGAAGCTAAATAATTTTTAATTAAATTATTAATAAAATAAAAACACCAAAAACGTAGATGTCTAAGCAAAAAACAATAAAATCATGTTAAACAACATGACCAAACACATTAAAACCATATTAGAAAGCATAAAAACAAACCAAAATCTTAGTAGCAACAAAATAAGCTGAGAAGCGGAAGTTTATGCTGGAGTAGAAGAAGATGGAGTTGTTGTGGTTAAGACATCCTGGCCAAAAAGAGTCTCCACAAGTTTCTCCACAGTTTTCGAGGTGTTTCTGGAAAAGAGCATTCTCATCATGGCTTTTTTGCAGATCAGTTTCAAGCTCCTCGATTCGGCGAGTTAAGGTTCCCACTTCTTCAATAGTTTGTGGCAAAACAGACGAACCATTAAAAGACATAGAAACTCCACTTTGAAGTGATCCAAGTCCAAATACACGACCTTGCTTTGATATTCCAGCAACCTACGAAGAAAACACAATCAAAGTTTAGGCTTCATCTCAATTAAAAAACACAATCAAAGTTTAAACTAAACAAGAGAAAAATTGAACAACAGAGTCAAAGCCATAAAGACAAATTGAACGAGTCAAAGCGGAAGCTAAATTGAACGAGTCAAAGATCTTGTTGCTGTAATCAAACTTAGTTTCCAACGACATTGAATTTTTTCTAGAAACTTGCAGCTAGAAATTAACAAAGATAAGATAATTACCTTAATGTAAATTTCATTTCTTTCCTCTAGAGTAAGGGCATCAGTCAAAACCTCACCATTGGCAGACTCCATCTGTGCTAAGCGTTCTTGCACATGTTCATCATATTGTTCTGCAATTACTCTTGCTCTTTCATCAACATATGTTCCATCAGATTTTTGGTGTGTTTTTTTTCATCACAGCAATGAAGGAAGAGTCTTCATTATTTGCTTCCTACAAATAAAAACAGTTTACAAATTATATAAAGCAACTAAGATTGGAAACGTAGTTAGAAACGTTCGTAAAAGTATAAATATCTAAACCATTACCAGAACATCTTGAACCTTGGCATATGAACGTGAACCTGATCTGTGTCGGTGGGGACCTAAACCATCACGACTAAACAGCCGAGAAGAACAAGCTTTTTGGCTTTTTCTTTGACTTCTGGTGTCCTCCAGTGAGCTAACATTACTGACCAATCTGATGACAAAATCCAATCTGGCTTTACTCCATTGGACTTTGCAAGGCTAACCATTCCTCTCAAGCGAGTAGCAGCAAGTGCATCAAAGTTGGCTTTCACTAGATGCTCGATTGAGACATCCCACTCATACATTGTCTAGAATACATATAATATTAGACACTAAAAGTATTAAAAAATACTAAAAATATAAAGTAGACACATAATTTAGACAAACCTTAAACGTTGAATACCATGCTTCTTTAAAATGCCGTGGCACTTTTTTCCAGCTGTACCATGGTCCCTTAAAGCACCCTTCAATGATTTTTCTCACTCTGGTTGATACTTCAGTGTTGTTTTTGAACCTGTTGCCAAAGTAATTAAACTGAGCAAACTAATATTTTATTATATTTGATTCTGTATTAAACAATACCATTTGGCTCCATTCCTTCTAGATGGATGGAGCACTCGAACATCATGTGCTATAGTTGCTATTTCTTCCATCTGTTCAATTTGTTCAGTGTTGGCTGCCGGAGGAAGTGGTCTTTCGACCCCACCAGATTGAGAAGCTGATCCTCTCCCATACAAACGGCCACCTACAATGATTGGAGGCCTCATCTATAATTGACAAAGAGCAATTTTTTATTAAAAAATAGTCAAAAAGCATAAGAAATCAAGCTAAAGACATATCTGAGAACTTTAAATAGCAAAAAACAATTGATCTCCAAAACTCAGTTGACAGATATGTTTGTTTAATCTCAAAAACGACCAGAACACAATTGACCTCCAAAACTCAGTTGTTATATACGTTTGTTTGATCTCCAAAACTTGCAAACTCAATTAGGCAATCTAACAAATCTAAAGAATTTCAAAAAAAAAAGTTTAAGCCAAAACCGATGATTAGAGACACATAGGACTAGAGACACATATGGTTAGAGACACATAGAACATACCTTGAAATCACTCTTTGTGGAAAAATAAAAACCTAAGCAAAAGACGGCTCCAAAAGTAAAATGTGATAGATGCTAAGTTTATTAGGAGTACTTTATTTATATATTAGGTGATATTTTAGAGTTTTAGTGACATTTAGTGTTAAATTTGGCGACTACAAAAAAATTTAGTACTGTTTACCGGCTATTTTCCCGCACTTAACAATTTCTGAATCTTTCTAATTTATGTTTTCCCTCTTTCTTTGAGGAACAAATTTTTCATTCCCTCTAAAATTAAAAACAATGACTGTCTTATATCTCTGAAAGGAATCATGCCGTGATATTTAGTAATTAAAAGACGTTGGAAAGTTGGTGACACCTGTTTTATTGTATATTGCAGTGCACAATAGCAGCTTCGACTCCTAATTCTACCATCTTCGAACTCAATAAGTGTGCTGCAAAATTCAATATAATCATTGAGTACAACCCAAAACAAATGCATCAACAAAGCTTTATAACCATGGAGTCAAAATCTGTGATCTTTAACACAAACACAATTCTATGATTCGTCGCAGATTTCTAAATAATCTATGAAGCTCATTAACAGGCAAACACAAGAATAGTCGTCAGAAACACAAACACAAGAACAGTAGTCAGAATCTTAGATCTTTAACACAAAAACGCTATTATGTGATACACATAGCAAATTAATGCACTAAATATGAAGCTCAATAACAGGCAAACAACAATAACTATGAAACAGTCTAGAAGAAAGAAAAAAAAAAGGATAAGATGACCCACACAGGGAGAAGCAGGAAGGAAAGCAAATCAGTCATCAGTTCCATCAGCTTGAAAAACAACAAGAGCTTGGAGACATCAAACAACAAAAATCAGTAAGTACCAATTTCATCAGCAATGCAACAAGAGCTTGGAGACATCAAACAACAAAAATCAGCAAAACAAGTGCATATGAACGCCTAGACACAAGTACATATGTACAGTAACATATTCTAATCTGCCATACAGACATTAAAAACAGTAAGAAGATCTAGCATGATCACCTTTTCTGTCAATTGTTTCAAACAAGACATTGGATCACCATGAAAGGATAGAGCAAGAGAGAAAACGAAAAAGAAACAAAGTCTATTCATAAGGAAGCAATACAAGTGAAGTTAATGGAAGATAAATCCAATAACAAAACGGTAAGAGAGAAGGCCAGAAATCAATCAGAAAAATGATGAGACTATGATTGATAGTTACTTCAATAAGATTCAACCTAAACATTATCAACGAAATCCATCACCTAAGATTCAATTAGCTACTCTGCCTTTCTCGTTCACACCACGTTTCAGATATCTGGGGAACAAGATAGAAGATTACAACCCAACTAAGACTTAATCTCATTCAGCTTAACCAAAACAAATGGCAGAGATAGAACAAGCTTCGTTAAGACTGTTACCTTTTTTCATACTTAATTTAAGATAAACCAAATCAGAATCAATCAGATAAGAAGATTGACATTCAAAATGCAGCTTCCACAAATCTCTAGTAAACTCTCTCTCATACTCTCTCGCCATTGACTCGCGACAATACTCAACAAGAGAAAAACCTGGAATTTGAACAGATTGGGAGAAAGAATCAATCAGAAAAACCTGGAATTTTCTATTTGGGCTGGTTTTGTTTGTGGGTTCTGTGATCTAATTTTGTTTGATTTTAAGAATAGTTTACATAAGGGAATTTGAAGATTCTATACTTCTGTGGTCGAATCTGGGTTTCAAAACCACGAAACTCTTTTTTTTAGTAGCTGTGTAAGTTTTACAAATATTTAATAGTGAGACCCAATGTTAATAATTGTATATGGTGTAGTGGTAGTGTAGCTTCATCATTTGTGAGAGGTCCAGGGTTCAAATCTTCGAACCAGCATAATTATTTTTTTTTACAAAATAATACCGTATTATAAATATCAATCCAATGGGAATTCGTTGTAGGTGACTCAACTTCGTTAACAATTTGACGGAGTTGACTAACGGTTACAAGAAAAATTGAGTTCAGATATGGATATTCAAATTATTAATAGTTCAGGTATGTGTTAACACAGTAAAATTGTAAGGCACTAATCGGTACCGTTTTATGCAGTTGATGTATGAATAAGCCGTTTTTCCATCTTTAATATCTACTTTATCGTGTAGTTGTCTTTTTAGTTGTTTTATTTGCAAAGGTAAACCTAAAGGCAAATGCTTTAAATAACTTTAAGTAAATATAATATAAATAAATAGAAAAATTCAAACCTGAAAGCACATATCGTATGACAAAAAAAAATAAACCAAATTGCAATAATTTAAGAAAGAAAACAAGATAACCATATTATAATGATTATTCAGATTCATTATCAGTTAATTCGATATCAGGATTTCAATCTTCATCATCTGATCTGGTATCTCCTTCTTCTCCTTCGATATCATCAAGATCGTCAGTTTGGCCATTTGTTAATGTCTCGACATCCAACGAATCAGCAGAAACTATTGGACCATTTCCTTCATGCTGCAATGCAGTGAAATCCAAACTTTGGTTAAACACAACTTTTCCCCTTGGTTGTATCACGATTGCTGCTTTCCATTGTCGATCTTTTATCTGAGTCACCCGTGGATACGGAATATAGCATACTTGATCTGCTTGGAAAGCCATAATAAAAGGATCGTATTTTCCATGACGTTTTCCAGCATTAACATCGATAATACCTGATCTGTTTATCCGTACACCTTTTCCAATGATTGAATCATACCAATTGCATTTGAAAAGTATAACTTTAAGATGAACTGGTCCAGGATAATGAAGCTCATAAATTTCTCTCAATACTCCATAAAAATCAGGTTGTTCACTTGAAACACCAGATGTGGAGTCTTTAACACAAAATCCATAATTGGCATTCTTCTTGTCTTTTCCATGGTCGTATGTGTGAAATATATATCCACGACAAAAATACATTGGCCAACTAGTAACTTTTATCATTGGACCATAAGCGACCGTCTGCAACCATTTTGGATATGAATTATCTTTGGAAGTATTCTCCACCTAATTTTAAAAACAAATATACAACACATTTATTATAAAATAAATTAAGTTATCAAAAATAAAAGAAAACAAAATCTTACATGCTCTTGTAACCAGTTTGCAAATTTATTTTCTCTAAGCGCAGTTAGATCGTTTTCACTTATCCCAGGATTAGAAGTAGTCATTTTCTCATCAAATAACCTAATATAAGAATCACAACAAGGATCACAACAATGTTTTATATGTATTAAAATTAAAGTATGTCCATATTAATTTCACGTACCTTTCAAATGGTCTTAATTGTTCACAGTTTCGAAGAACATATGTATGTGCGATATGGTAGTCTTTATCTTGAAGCCATATCTCTTTTTCTTTACCACTTCCCCTCCCTGGTTGAGAAAAAATGTCTGGAATTTCACCAAACTGGTGTGTTTCTCCGTGACTACCTCCATCATAATGTCGCTCTTCTGTTCGGCTTTTTGTCTTGATGTGTGGCTCAAAGTAATAAGTACAGAAACTAGAAATTTCTTCATTGATGTATTGTTCAACAATCGAGCCTTCTACCTTTGCCTTATTTTTTACTTTTTTTTAAGATGACCTATGTATCGTTCAAAAGGATACATCCATCTAAATTGCACCGGTCCTCCAAGTCTAGCTTCATGTGGCAAGTGAACTGGCAAATGCTCCATAACATCAAAAATGATGGAGGAAATATTTTCTCCAAATTGCAAAGAACCATACAGATGTTCTGATGCAATATTTCAATACTATCTTTATGTATAGTTCTTGCGCAAAGATCCCGGAAAAACAAGCTAACACCTACAAAAAATAATATATTATTAATTAGACCGGAATAAGTAGAGAGATAGTGCTTCGTGTACAGATTTTCCCATAAGCTCGGCAAACGCAATAGGAAGTAGACGCTGAATCATAACATGACAGTCATGACTTTTCATTCCTGTTAATTTTCCTCCTGAAAGATCGACACACTTAGATAAACTTGAAGAATATCCATCAGAAAACTTAACATCTTTTTCAAGCCATCGTAAAAAAGATGTTTTTGCATCAGTTTGTAGTCTGAAAATTGGGACTGGTGCCTTTCCATCAGTTGTTAAATGTAGCTCTTTGCGATTACAATACTCTGCCAAATCAAGACGTGATCTAACGTTGTCTTTCGTCTTCTCTTGCACATTCAGTAAAGTATTGATGATATTATCGAAAAAGTTTTTTTCGATATGCATCACATCAAGATTATGACGAAGCTTATGATTTTTACAATAAGGTAGCTCCCAAAAAATGCTCTGTTTATGCCAATTGTGAGTGTCACCGTATTGTCGTAATCGTCCGTAGTTTCCTCCACAATCAACTGTTTTGGGCAAAAAATTGACTTCTCTTAAAAGTTCCTCGCCTGTTAATATTTGAGGTGGACTATCGTTAATAACTCTTCATTTTCTGAAATTTTTCCGGTTTCATCGATAGCTATGATCTGTCGGTAGAAAACACCGATGACAATCAAACCAACTTGTTTTTCTACCATGTTTTAGCTGAAATGCATCTGTTTGATCCATACAATAAGGACATGCCAATCGACCATGAGTTTTCCATCCAGAAAGCATACCATAAGCAGGAAAGTCACTTATTGTCCACATAAGTGCAACTCGTAACTGATAATTCTGCTTGGTTGAAATATCATATGCATCAAAACCGTTCATCCACAAATCCTTTAATTCTTCTATCAATGGTTGAAGAAAAATATCAAGACTTTTCTTAGGATGATTTGGACCAGGAACTAGAATTGTTAGAAACATGAATTCTTGTTTCATGCACATCTCTGGTGGCAAATTATACGGAGTCAAAATAACAGGCCATAATGAATAGTTATGCCCAGACATACCAAATGGATTGAAACCGTCTGTACATAATCCAAGGTAAACGTTTCTTGGCTCAGTAGCAAAATTAGGGAATACCTCGTTAAAATGTTTCCATGCTTCTCCGTCTGAGGGATGACACATTTCTCCAGCTGTTTTTGAGTGTTCTGCGTGCCATCTCATATCTTTTGCAGTTTTACTAGACTGATATAATCTTTTCAGTCTATCAGCTATCGGCAAATAAAACATTTGGCGATGTGCTATTTTTTTCTGCCCAGGCTTTCGAGTTGGCTGAAATCTATCTTTTTTGCAAAATTTGCAATTCTCCTCATTTGCAGTATCTTTCCAAAATATCATGCAATTATCTTGACAAACGTCTATTTTATGATAAGGTAAACCCAATGACCGCATAAGCTTCTTTAAATCATAGTAAGAATTCATTGAGTTGTTACCTTGTGGCAAGTAATCTTGTATCAGCTGCACAATAGAG